TGACTTCAGCGCGGGAGGGGCCAGGTTGAAGAAGGGCAGGCTCCATTCATGCAAACAAAGGTTGGCTGCCTTCCAGGTTTGATTGTGTCCTTATCTCCATGCTTGTGGCCAGGGAGGGGTGTGAAGTTCTCTGGTAACCAGCCTGTTCTGATGGCTGTCTCCCCCACCTTTCCCCGGTGCCGGCCCAAACTCCTGGCCGAAGCCCCGGTACCACAGCAATTTCTCCAGCCCCCAAAAGGGGTTCCGCCTGGACCCAAGGCAGCCCCACCTGGCCAGGTGCTGAGCATCACAGGGGAGGAAGGATTCAGTGAGGTTGCAGCCAGGAGATGGGTCTGGTGACGGGTGGGCAGGGGACAGGGTGGCATAGCTAGTCTTTCCCGTAGGGAGACACCGGGGACCTGTGCCAAAGGTTAACAACCGTGTGTGGTTCTTGCCTTTGCCCTTTCACAGAGCTCTTGGGTGCCAGGCCTGCAATTTGGGGGAGCCTCTGGTCCCTGGTCCCCATTCGGTTGAAATGGACCTGAGAACGCAGTGGAATATGTGTGTGGACGGGGGGTTGGGGGGGGGCATTCACCACAGCCCCTGGGGTGCGTGGAGGAGGTCTTCCTCGGGTATTGGCTCCCCCCTCACTCCCCAGCCCCCGATCCCACCACAGCGCGCACGCACACCCCCCTGCAGGAACAGGGTCTCTTTGTGGGCCTGATTCGCCCAGCTCCTCTGGAAGCCTCCTCAATACACAAACCTTCCTTTATGGGGTGGTAGGTTTACTGGAGACAGAAAAACAGAAGAGGAGGGGCAGAAGGCCCAACAGGAAGAGGTGGCTGCTGCCCACAGTGGGGGGTGTGGGAGCCCTGGACCTGCTTCCTAGGGGCCTTTGGAGGGGCCCGGGCAGCCAGGCTCCGTTTATAAGGAGAAATGCTAGGAGGGCAGTGGCTGAGACGAGGGACAGGGGCTGCTGGGCAGGGTGGGGATGTGGCGAGATGAGAGGCAAGAGCTCCTCACCTTGGAGATAGCCAGAGGGACAGAGGCAACTTTTAGGGCCGAGGGGACGGTGCCCAGCCGCGGCCCTGGATCCCTGGGCCTCCGGGCAGAGAAGGAGGAGCCGGGGCCGGGCGCTGCAGCCAGGAGCTCACCTTGTCCAGGTTGGTGCTGTCCAGCCAGAGGCTCTCCAGGTACCTGCCGAACGACTGGAAGGCGCCGTCGGGGATGCTCCTCAGGGGGTTGTGGGACAGCTTCAGCTCCTCCACCACGCGCAGCTTGCTCAGGGCCGCCGCGGGGTAGCTGGACAGCTGGTTCCGGTCCAGGTGGAACTTGGCCAGGTTCTCCACGTCGTCCAGGGCGCCGGGCTGCAGGGAGCTGAGCGCGTTCTCCGACAGGTAGAGCCAGCGCAGGTCCTTGGCGCCCTGGAAGGCGCCGGCGCGCAGCTCGCGGATCTTGTTGTTGTTGAGCTGCAGGATGAAGAGGTTGACCAGCGGAGACAGCAGCCCCCGGGGCAGCTCGGTCACCTTGTTGTGGTCCAGGTAGAGGTAGGTGAGCTCGCTCAGGTCGTCGAAGGCGCCGGCGCGCAGCACGCGGATGTCGTTGTGGGACAGGTACAGGTAGATGAGCTGCTTGAGGCCCCGGAAGGCGCCGGCCGCCACCTCGCGGATCTGGCAGTGCTGCAGGTGCAGCGACACCAGGTTGGGCATGGCCCGGAAGGCGTTGGCGGCCAGCACGGGGAAGTTGTTGCGCTGGAGGTTGAGCAGCTTGGTCTTCTCGGACACCTTGGGGATCTTCTGCAGGCCCACCTTGTCGCAGATGACGTGCTGCAGGTCGCCGTGGCAGTGGCAGTTCTGGGGGCAGGCGGCCAGCGCCGG